GAAGAGGAAGAGGAAGAGGAAGAGGAAGAGGAAGAGGAAGAGGAAGAGGAAGAGGAAGAGGAAGAGGAAAAGGAAGAAAAAAGAAGAAGAAGAAGGAGGAGGAGGAGGAGGAGGAGGAGGAGGAGGAGGAGGAGGAGGAGAAAGGGAGAGAGAGGGAGAGAGGGAGGGAAGGAGGGAGACAAGGAGGGAGGGAGGGAGGGAGGGAGGGAGAGAAGAAGAAAGGAAAGAAGTGTCTTGATGTCTTGGGGATAACTCTAACCAAGCAAGAAAGAGACTTGAAGAGTATAAACATAAAATTTGAAGAAAGAAATTAAAGAAGACATCAGAATGTGGAAAAATATCCAATGATTATTGATTGGTAGGATTAATATTATAAAAATAACAAATGCTTCTATATGCATTCAACAGATTTAATGCACCCACCTCTCAATATTCCAGCACAATTCTTCACAGAAATTTAAAAAATACTCTTCAACTGCCTGAATAAAAACTAAAATCTCAAGATGACTGAAACAATCCTGAATGATAAAAGAATTGCTGGAGCTCTCACCATTCCAGACTTTAAGTTATATTACAAAGTGTTAGTAATAAAAATAGTATGGTATTGACATACTGATATAAAAAGACACATTGATTAAAGGATTACAATTGAAAACCCAGATATAATTTCACACATCCACAGATGTGTGAACTTTTGACAAAGGAGACAAAAAATACGCACTGGAGAAAAGATAGCATCTTCAGGAAAAGATGTTCAATTTGGATAGTTCTATGGGGAAGATTGCAAATAGAACTATGTCTTTCATCCCTAGAAAAATGAAAACTCCGGATGGATCTTCATATCTTCATAAGACTGAATACCCTGAATATCATATAAGGAAGAGTTGAAAATTCACTTGAACTCATTGGTACAGTAGAGAATTCTCTGAACAAGACACCATTAGCATAGTCAATAGCACACTTTAGTGAGATAGAATCTCCTAAAACAAAGGGGTTTCTATAACAAAAGCTACAATAATCTAAACAAAGTGGCATCCAAAAAAAATGGGGAAATTTTTAAACATAAAAAGAAAGAGATCATATTCCCAATCACAATAAACTAAAAAAAATACTTAGGAATAAACCTAAGCCTGGGTCTATAGGACCTGTACTGTGAAAAAATGTTAAACCAGATTCAAATTCAGGGGAAAAAAGCATAAATACCCAAAAGTTATTCAGAAAAAAGCAATAATACAGGGAATACCCTTCAGATTTTAAGATATATTACAGTCATTGTGTAAAGACAGTATGTGATAAGCACAAAACAGACATGTATACTAAGAAAAGAATATCAAACATCAAAACATAAGAACATGTAACTTCAAGCACTTAATATCTGACAAAGATGTGAAAAACATATCCTGAAAAAATTATTTTTAACAAATGCTACTAATAAACCCAGATGTCTAAATGCAGAAGAATGAAATTATGCCCGTATCTACCACCTTGTCAAAAAGCTATCAGGCATAAAAGACCTAAACCTGCAATCTGAAACAAACAATGAAACTACTAGAAAAAAAAACATAGTTTGTATCCTGCATAATATAGGTATAGACATAGTCTTTCTTTGTAGTTCTACATTGTCACAAGAATTAAGGATAACAATTGATATGTGGAATTTCATACAACTTGTTTCTCTATAGTTAAAGAAACATTCAGTGAGATGAAGAAGCCCACAGAATGAGGAAAATATTTGTTAATACCCCTTTGAATATATATTAATTACTACACAATATTAACACATATTACTTAATATATTTATATATTATTTTTCTATTTATTATTATGTATAATCTTATATATATA